GAAGGGGAAGAGAAAGGGGGTTGAGAAAGAGGAAAGGAAAAGAGAAAGGGAAAAGGGTCAAAGAGAAAGGAGAAAGAGGAAGGGAAATGAAAAAGCAGAAGGGAAAGAAGAAAGAGAAAGGGAAAGGGTAAGTGAAATGAAAAGAGAAGGGAGGAAGAGCTTCCCCCCTCCCATTCAATTCTCTCTTTTTGTCCAGAGAGGATCCTGAGAGATTGTATCCTGTGTTATCTTCAAGAGAATCCTGTGTCCTCTCCACTGAGTGATCTTTAAATAAAATCCTGTCCAAGCTGTTATGATTGTTCATTCTAGACCCCGTCACCCTACTAACTGGAAAACCTAAAAATACGTATGACATTCGTATACATAACATATGTTTAGGTTTGGAATATTTTTCTTATGTTTTTTTGTAACCACTTCTGTGGTAAAGATACGTATTTTATGTCCGTCAAAATACGCATTTTTTATTCGTCAAAATACATATTTTAAAAAACCTAAAAAATCCGAATTTTTGGGTTTTCCTATACGTAAAATGTATTCTTAAGGCATATTCAAGTTTCAAAACCCAAATGCCAAGAAGTTGATGACTTTAATTGTTCATAAAACTAATTCCACAAATTTCTTAAATCCATATTCATATCAATTAATTTCAATCCAATCCAATATTCTTCTACTTTTCTAACCATCATCATTCCTTCATCTGAAATCAACATTCATACAAGCATTTTGTTGTATCTTTAACAATTTTGTCTTTAATATCTGTTCTACCTCATACACTTACCATTATACCTGTTACAAGACTGTTAAAGTGTAACTTCTATTTATCAAAAAATCAAGAATTTACTGACATTGATTAAAAATGAAAACATCAATTTACTTCAAAATTATATATAAATTTTGAAACATTGTAATTACCAAAATGGTTGCATTTAATTTCTTACATATCAATTCGTTTGAAAACTCATCAAATATTTTTAAATTCTCGCTTAAAATGCATTTTTGTGCAGTTAAAATTTCGTGAATATTAAGTCCCAGTTTAGTGTAATGTAACGTAATTCTGTGATGTTATGTTACATAAAAATAAAATTACTAATAACGCAACTAAAATTATGTTATTTAATGTTAATAAATAACGTTTTTTAACGTTAATAAATAACATTTTTTAACGTTAATAAATAATGTGTTTTAATGTTAATAAATAACTTTATTTAATGTTAACAAATAATTTTAAAATTCGGTGATGGTGATGGACCTAGCCTCTGTAGAGTAAAAAAGTAGATGTTAGTTCCACATTTATTGAAAATATATTTCGATCTGGGTCGACCCTCAACATTTCTAACGATATAATAACCATCAAAATCGATAAAAAATATAAAAAAATGTTTGTTAAAAATCACATGAAAATAAACAAACAAAAAAGATTGTTCAAAATAAAAATATTGGCTGTCAAATGGACATAAAATTACTGGACTCTGTGGGCAGATACTAGGTTGTTTCATACCTAATTACTGGACTCTGTGGGCAGATAGTAGGTTGTTCCATACCTAATTACTGGACTCTGTGGGCAGATACTAGGTTGTTCCATACCTAATTACTGGACTCTGTGGGCAATGTCTCGAATACTAATGCTTAATAATAATTTCAGGAACCTTTAGTAACTGGTTTTTTGCGTGTTTCGTTAAACTGGTTAAATCAGAATATGTAAAATATTTATTTTTGAATATTTTTTATTGATTAGCTCTAAAGAATTGGGATTATTTGGTTTCTATTCTATTATTTGTAATTATTTCTATTGTTCAGGTGAAAATGTTGTTACTGAAGAAGATCCTCTTTACTCCCAACCAAAGAGAACCAAGAAAAGTAAACATGAAGGAGAAGGATACCCTTGTTCTGAATGTGATTATGTTGCGACCAAAGCTGGAAGTCTGAAGAGACATATTGAATATAAACACGAAGGAGTGAGATATCACTGTAAACAATGTGATTATGTTGCTACTCAAGCTGTACATCTCAAGAAACATTTTAAAAGTAAGCATGAAGGAGTGAAATATCCCTGTAAACAATGTGAATATGCTGCCACTCAAGCAGGTGATCTAAAGAAACATGTGGAAAATAAGCATGAGGGTGTGAGGTATCCCTGTAAACAATGTGAATATGCTGCCACAACAACAGGTGGTTTAAAGAGGCATATTGAAAGTATACATGAGGGTGTGAGATATCACTGTAAATACTGTGAATATGCTGCCACTCAAGCAGGCGCTTTGAAGAAACATGTTAAAAGTAAACATGAAGGAGTGAAATATCCCTGTAAACAATGTGAATATGCTGCCACAACAATTGGTGATTTAAAGAGGCATGTTGAGAGTATACACGAGGGTGTGAGATATCCCTGTAAATACTGTGATTATGCTGCCACTCAAACAGGCGATCTGAAGAAACATGTTGAAAGTATACATGAGGGTATGAGGTATCCCTGTAAACACTGTGAATATGCGGCCACAAAATTTAATAATCTGAAGAGACATGTTGAAATTAAGCATGAGGGTGTGAGATATCCCTGTACAAATTGTGAATATGCTGCCACTACGGCAGGTGGTTTGAAGAGTCATGTTGAAAGTAAGCATGAGGGTGTGAGATATCCCTGTAAGCACTGTGAATATGCTGCCACTACAGCATATCATCTGAAGAGACATGTTAAAAGAAAACACGAAGGAGTGAGATACCCCTGTTCAAATTGTGAATATGCTGCTACTACAGCAAGTGTTTTGAAGAGACATGTTGAAAGAAAGCACGAGGGTGTGAGATATCCCTGTAAACAGCAGGTCATCTAACGAAACATGTTGAAATTAGGCATAAAGGATTGTAATATCCATTTAAACACTGTGAAGTTGCTTCCACTGAAGCTGGCAACCTGAAGAGAGATGTTGAAAGTAAGCATGAAAGAGTAAGATATCCCTGTAAACATTGTGAATACGCTGTCACTCAAGCAGGTGATCTAAAGAAACATGTTATAAATAAGCATGAGGGAGTAAGGTATCCCTGTAAGCAATGTGAATTTGCTGCCACTCAAGCAGGTCATCTGAAACAACATGTTGAAAATAAGCATAAAGGAGTGAAATATCCTTGCGTCCAGTGTAAATATGCTGCCACTACAGCAGGTGATCTAAAGAAACATGTTATAAATAAGCATGAGGGAGTAAGTTATCCCTGTAAGCAATGTGAATATGTTGCCACTACAAGCAGGTTATCTGAAGAAACATGTTAAAAGTAAGCATGAGGGAATTAGGTATCTCTGTAATACAGCAAGTGATTTAAAGAGGCATGTTGAAAATATACATGAGGGTGAGAGATATCCATGTAAATACTGTGATTATTCTGCCACCCAAGCAGGCGATCTGAAGAAACATGTTGAAAGTAAACATGAAGGAGTAAGATACCCTTGTAGTTAATGTGATTTTACGGCAAAACAAGCTAGAAATCTAAAGAGGCATATTGAATATAAACATAATGGAGCAGGTATTCTGAAGAGGCATGTTGAAAGTATACAGTGAGTGAGTTATCCCTGCAAATACTGTGAATATACCACCGCTCGAGCAGATTACCTGAAGAATCGTGTTGAAAGTAAACATAAGTAATGAGATATCTGTTTTTCAGTTTTGTTAATGCTTCTAAAACTTTTCATATAGTTTGAATACAATATTTCACATTAATCTATAATTATTTATATTTTGCTGTATTTTTGTAATCGTCCAGTTAATTTGGATACAGGTTGAATATGACGTTTCTATTTTTTATGATTAAAATAATTAAGCTTTGTTCTCTTCCTTTGTGATCATTTGAATTAAGTTTTATACAGTGTATATATGAAAAGAAAATACTAAAATTTAAAGTTATTTTCAAATTTATCGAGAAACTTGCATTTAAATCCTTATTCTTTTATCTGTTGGTGATCTTAAAAGCATAATGTTTCACTGTATATTATAATTCATCACACAAAGATATTCTTTAATTGATATTTTGATAAAATTTTATCATTTGTAAAATATTTGTTTAGTTCAAAATATTAAAGTTGTATTCATCTTATCTGTGAATTGGTTTTAATTCAGCAATTGTACAATTTCTTCACATGATCGGTTTGTTTAAAAAATCAACATATTTTGCAAGAATTTCATATTTCAGATAATGTAAAAGAAGAAATGACTATGGAAGAAATAGAGATAAAGAAGAGGAGATTTTCATTAAGATAGAAATTTGTCCATTTTCTAGTTTAAAGGAAACATATCAAAGGGATTTTCAGGAGAAAGATGTTTAGATGGAAAATACAGAAATTAAAGGTAAAGTTTAATTTTTCAGGAGTATTTTATAAATGTTGTATTTTATCAATTTATCAAGTAAATGCAAGATTTAGTCAAAAATCACTTTAGACAATTATGGCAGCTTCATAAACAATACAAATATTCTCTATAATGACGAAGCATAATTTATATTTTTTGTTAAAAAGTTTCTTATCTAAATATAATAGACAAATTTTCTGATTTCAAAATTACAAAAATAATCTTCAAATTTCACCTAAATAGTCTTTACTTACATTGAACATGCTTACCTGAGAGACCAGCCTCCGTAGAAGGGAGAACAAGGAGAAGGGAAAGAGAAGGAAAGTGAACCATAAACCTAGAACTAAATCAGGGTAAACAAAAAGGGTGGAGATTTCCATGTGACGATTATGACTTTGCTGCCCGTACATCAGATACTATGAACAAACATGTAGAGAGCAAACATAATTTCTCTTTTGGTGAATGTGATTATGAGGCAACCCAAGCTAAAAATTGAAGAAACTTATTTAAAATTAACATGAAGGAGTGAGCGTGACCAATGTATGTACGCTGCCACTTCCACAAATTGGGACACTCTACTCCATTGTATTAGTTTTGAGTTTTGTTTATTGCCTATCTCAAGAATGCCTGACTTGACAATACCCTTGTAGTGAATGTGATTATATGGCAACACTAGCTAAAAATCTGAAGAGGCATATTGAATATAAACATATAGGAGTGAGATATCCCTGTAGACATTGTAAATTTGCTGCCACTACAGCAGGTGGTCTAAAGATTCATGTTGAAAATAAGCACGAGGGAGTGAGGTATCCCTGTAAACAATGTGAATATGCTGCCCCTGAAGCAGGTGCTCTTAAGAGACATTTTGAAAGTAAACATGAAGGGGTGAGATATCCCTGTGAACACTGTGAATATGCTGCCACTGAGGCAGGTAATCTAAAGAAACATGTTAAAAATAAGCATGAGGGAGTTAGGTATCCCTGTAAACAATGTGAATATGCTGCCACTACAACAGGTGGTCTTAAGATACATGTTGAAAATAAGCATGAGGGAGTGAGGTATCCCTGTAAACAATGTGAATATGCTGCCACTACATCAGGTGGTCTTAAGATACATGTTGAAAATAAGCATAAGGGAGTGAGATATCCCTGTAAACAATGTGAATATGCTGCCACTACACCAGGTTATCTGAAGAAACATGTTAAAAATAAGCATGAGGGAGTGAAATATTCTTATGAGCACTGTGAATATGCTGCCACAACAGTAAATAGTTTAAAGAGGCATGTTGAAAGTAAGCATAAGGAATGATATATTTATGTTGTGAGATGCTTCTAAAACATTTGATGGATTTAATATATACGATTGATTTACAGTATATTCTATTCAAATTTTATATACGGGATAAAGTTTGAATAAAATATTACACATTGACATATACATGATATTTTGCTGTATTCTTGCAATCAACCAATTTGAAGGTTAAATTAAACAAAACATGTTTAAAGAAATGTTGTCTCTACATTTGTGAATTTGATAATATTCGCTTAATTTGAATACAGGGTAGAGATGAAAGAAAAGATTGAAATATTTTTCCAGTTTATTGAGAAACTTCGTTTTTACCTTTAATCCTTCAACTGTTGGTAATCTTAAAAGCATGATGTTTTAGTGTATATTATGATTCATCACACCGTGATATTCTTTTAATGATCTTCTTATAAAATTTTATTATTTGTAAAACTGTTTAGTGGGTGGTAAAACCATTTGTTTAATTTAAATATCAAAGCGTAATCCATCTTATCTGTTTAGTGGGTTGTTAAACCATATGTACAATTTAAATATCAAAGCGTAATCCATCTTATCTGTGAGTGGGTTGTTAAACCATTTGTACAATTTAAATATCAAAGCGTAATCCATCTTATCTGTGAGTGGGTTGTTATACCATTTGTACAATTTATTCACATGATTGGTTAGTTTGAAAATCAACATAGTTTGCAAGTATTTTATATTTTAGATATTATAAAAATTACAATGATTATAAAGATGTGGAGATAGAAGAAGAACTTTTTTTGTTATTTACTCAATTTTTAATTATCCAACAGCTAAATCTATGATTTTTTGTTTGTTATATAGATAAAACTTTTCATAATCTATTAATTTATGAATACTTTTATATTGGAACACAGTAATTTCCAATCTTTAAAAAAAAAAGATCAAAGTTTTATTTTTTAAATGTGCTTTTTTCAATTTTACGCTTCTTAACATTTCTTAACAGACGATTTATATTTCAGCAAGAATGACAGAGAATATAAAAGAAGAAATAATTATGGAAGAAAAAGAGATAAAAGAAGAAATTATCATCATTGATAAAGTTAAACCATCTTCTAGTTTAGAGGAAATTTGTACTTTGGATGTACAGGCTGAAGATGTTAAGATGAAAAATACAGAAATTATAGGTAAAGTTTAAGTGAACATAAATTTATTGCACAATATTGTAACATTAAAATATTGTTTTAATTGTATGTAATAATAATAAAAATAATAATAATAATAAACTCTTGTAAATTAAATTAACGCTTATGTATTTAATTTTAGATACTTTTACTGGTAATTCATCACAAGAAATAGAGATGGAGGAGTTTAAGATGAAAGAAGAAATTCTCCCAGGTTCTACTGTAGAAGATACATGTACAGTTTATGTACAGGGAGAGAGCATGAAGATGGAAGGTAAGAAAAAAGCTCTTTCATTTTATCTATTGCCATCACAAAAAAATCATAACTTTAATATTTTATTATATTTTAGTTATTCATTATTTATTGCAATGAAAATAACTTTGGAAAAGGGGTTTTTATTTTGTAATTAAAGAATATATAACGGACATAATGGATAGTTATTTAATATTATAATATTCTTTATAGATTAGAATTAATCTTAAGAATTTGGGATTATTGGTTTCTATTCCAATATTTCTATTGTTAAGGGGAAATTTTTATTTTTTATTTTGTAATTAAAGAATACATAACGGACATAATGGATAGTTATTTAATATTATAATATTCTTTATAGATTAGAATTAATCTTAAGAATTTGGGATTATTGGTTTCTATTCCAATATTTCTATTGTTAAGGGGAAATTTTTATTTTTTATTTTGTAATTAAAGAATACATAACGGACATAATGGATAGTTATTTAATATTATAATATTCTTTATAGATTAGAATTAATCTTAAGAATTTGGGATTATTGGTTTCTATTCTATTATTTCTATTGTTTAGGTGAAAATGTTATTAATGAAGAAAATCCTCTTTACTCTCAACCAAAGAGAACCAAGAAAAGTAAACATGAAGGAGAAGGATACCCTTGTGGTCGCTGTGATTATGTTGCCACCCAAGCTAGTCATCTCAAAAAACAGTTGAAAGTAAGCATGAAGGAGTGAAATATCCCTGTAAATACTGTGAATTTGCTGCCACTGAAGCTGGCAACCTAAAGAGGCATGTTGAAAGTAAGCATGAAGGAGTAAGATATCCCTGTAAAAATTGTAAATATGCTGCCACTACAGCGGGTGATTTGAAGAGACATGTTGAAAGTAAGCATGAGGGGGTGAGATATCCCTGTAAACACTGTGAATATGCTGCCACTACAGCAGATCATCTAAAGAGACATGTTGAAAGTAAACACGAAGGAGTGAGATACCCCTGTGCAAATTGTGAATATGCTGCCATTACAGCAAGTGTTTTGAAGAGACATGTTGAAAGTAAGCATGAGGGTGTAAGATATCCCTGTAAACACTGTGAATATGCTGCCACTACAGCAGGTCATCTAACGAAACATATTGAAATTAGGCATAAAGGATTGAAATATCCCTGTAAACACTGTGAATTTGTTTCCACTGAAGCTGGCAACCTGAAGAGACATGTTGAAAGTAAGCATAAAGGAGTAAGATATCCCTGTAAACATTGTGAATACGCTGGCACTCAAGCAGGTGATCTAAAGAAACATGTTATAAATAAACATGAGGGAGTAAGGTATCCCTGTAAGCAATGTGAATATGCTGGGACTACAGCAGGTTATCTGAAGAAACATGTTAAAAATAAGCATGAGGGAATTAGGTATTCCTGTAAACACTGTGTAGTGTGTATATGCCGCCAATACAGCAAGTGATTTAAAGAGGCATGTTGAAAATATACATGAGGGTGTGAGATATCCATGTAAATACTGTGATTATGCTGCCACCCAAGCAGGCGATCTGAAGAAACATGTTGAAAGTAAACATGAAGGAGTAAGATACCCTTGTAGTGAATGTGATTATACGGCAACACTAGCTAGAAATCTGAAGAGGCATATTGAATATAAACATAGAGGAGTTAGATATCCCTGTGACCATTGTGATTACATTGCGATTACAGAAGGTATTTTGAAGAGGCATGTTGAAAGTATACATGAGAGTGAGTTATCCCTGTAAATACTGTTAAAATACCACCACTGAAGAATCGTTTTGAAAGTAAACATGAGTAATGAGATATCTGTTTTTCAGTTTTGTTAATGCTTCTAAACATTTAATAAAGTTTGAATACAATATTACACATTAACCTATATTTATTTTTTTTGCTGTATTTTTGTCCAAGTTAATTTGGATACAGTGTGGAAGACGATGCCTGGCCGCCTTAAACAAGTTCCAGAAGATTCAACGGAAGGATATAGAACGGATACGGGGCATAGTACTGAAAAACATCTACACGTGTGATATCAATATTGACTCTAGTTCTGAGCCCTCTAGTAATAAGTTTTAAGAAATATATATACTGGAAGTTATTTATGCGTTTTTAGTAGAGTCTGACTCACGTCCTCTATATTGGTGACCCCCGACTTTGAACATACAGTTAAACGCTATCCAGTTTCGTGATTTTCTTAAATTTTGAACATTAAGTGATACATCCGAGCATCATGACGGACCAGAAAGAAACTCCAACCGAGTACATCGCCAAAGTCTCCGTCAAGCTCCCGGATTTTTGGACAAAGGACCCCGACTTGTATTTCCTTCATGCAGAGGCTGCCTTCAGAAACATCCAAATCACACAGCTACTCCAAGAGCTAATCAGCTATATAGCTACTCCCTGAGCTAATGAGCTACACAGCTACTCCAGAAGCTAATTAGCTATATAGCTACTCCTGGAGCTAATCAGCTACACTGCTACTCCCGGAGCTAATTAGCTACACTGCTACTCCCGGAGCTAATCAGCTACACTGCTACTCCCAGAGCTAATCAGCTATATAGCTACTCCCAGGGCTAATGAGCCACACAGATACTCCAGAAGCTAATCAGCTACACAGCTACTCCTGGAGCTAATAAGCTAAATCTTTGCTACTCCTGGAGCTAATAAGCTATACCTCAGCTACTCCTGGAGCTAATAAGCTAAACCTTGGCTACTCCTGGAGCTAATAAGCTGTACCTCAGCTACTCCTGGAACAAATAAGCTAACCTCGGCTACTCCTGGAGCTAATAAGCTAAACCTTAGCTACTCCTGGAGCTAACAAGCTATACCTCGGCTACTCCTGGAGCTGCAAATGTAGTGGCTGTCAATCTCCTCGTCCCCCTCCAGCATCTCCTCTTGCTCCAAAATATCCTCCCGCTCCACAACTGCCTCCTTCCCCTGGGGTTAAGGTGTCTGAGGTGTCGGCGGTGTCTGAGGTGTCGGCGGTGTCGGAACTTCTTCAGTGATTAATTTTTCAGAATTAGCTAAAGAACAACTGTCCTGCCCTGATGTACTCCGCCTAAAGGTTTCCCCCACCCTCCGCCTGGCCACTGTTCCAGTTCAGGATGGTTCTCTTCTGCTCCCTACTCAATTTCAAGCACAAGATCCCCCAACCGATCTATTCTATGAAAATCTTAAAAATTCGATGTCTGGTTTTCAACCTGTTCCGCCTCGTCATAATATTCCTGCATGGACATGTTGCTCCTCTAGCCCCCTTCTACGAGGGTCCTTACAAGGTTTTAGCCCGCTCCCTTAAAACCTTTCAGCTCCAAGTTGGTAAGAGAGTAGAAATGGTTTCAGTTCAATGCCTCAAACCAGCTTTCACAGCAGATGATGAGGCTCCAGTAGAACCTCCACGCCGAATTGACTCTAGTTCTGAACCCTCTAGTAATAAGTTATAAGAAATATATATACTGGAAGTTATTTATGCGTTTTTAGTAGAGTCTGACTCACGTCCTCTATAACAGGTTGAATATTACGTTTCTATTTTTTTATAATTAAAATGATTAAATTTTGTTCTCTTCCTTTGTGATCATTTGAATTAAGTTTTATACAGTGTATATATGAAAAGAAAATATCAAAATTTAAAGTTATTTTCAAATTTATCGAGAAACTTGCATTTACATCCTTATTCTTTTATCTGTTGGTGATCTTAAAAGCATAATGTTTCAGTTTATATTATGATTCATCACACAAAGATATTCTTTAATTGATATTTTGATAAAATTTTATCATTTGTAAAATATTTGTTCAGTTAAAAATATTAAAGTTGTATTCATCTTATCTGTGAATTGGTTGTAATCTAGTAATTGTACAATTTCTTTACTTAATTGTTGAGTTGGAAAATCAACATAGTTTGCAAGAATTTCATATTTCAGAAAGAATGGCAGAGAATGTAAAAGAAGAAATGATCATTGTAGAAATAGAGATAAAAGGAGAAATTTTCATTAAGAAAGAAATTTGTGTTTCTTTTAGTTTAGACGAAACATGTACTTGGGATAATGAGGAAGATGTTAATATGGAAAACACAGAAATTACAGAGCCCGCGATTTAAAAACTTTGTCTCGAGTCGTAATTCCTTAAACCCGACTTTAAGACCCAATCTTCGACCCAACTCTGACGACAGCTTGTGTCACGTTATTGACAGCTGCAAGATATTCGGCTCGACTTAAGGAGTTAGACCCAATGAAAATAAAACCGACCTTGATTGGTTTTAGTAGAGAATAAGGCTCAATATTGAGTATTGTTCTCATAAAATCCCGGAATGCGTCAATTCCTACCATGAAAATACGCCAATTAGAATAATAAACCGGTTTTTTTAAACTCAACTATGAGGAAAATACAAAAACTCAAGCCGTAAACAAGGCCCAACGACAGCTTAGACCCGAGCTGTATTTTCCCCATTTTTTTTTAAATCGCGGGCTCAGGTAAAGTTTAATTTCTCAGAAATCTCTATATTTATATATATGTAAATGATTTAAGTTTAGCTACTTAGAAATTTTCTCAGCTTGGTTTAAAACGTCGAACTTTCATAGCAAAAGTAATGCTTACAGGCAAAGCTGGATTCTGAAGCTAAGGTATGTGGTAAACGTCCTAATTCCTTTAATAATAACCAAATTAACGTTTATAAGTTTAGTTTAATTTGTATGTGCATTTAATTCTAGAAAGTATTGGTTGTAATACAACACAAAAAATAGAGTTGAAAGAGTTTGATATGAAAAAAGAAACAGTTTCTGTCAAAGAAGAAGGTTCTTCTGTAGATTGATACAAGTACAAGAAGAGAGCATGAAGAGTGAAACTTTAGAACTATAAAGTAAGAAAAACATTTTTTCTTTTAATACCTTATCTTGGTAGTTTTGTGGTCTGTTTTGAAAAGTTATCCGAAATGCGTATAATATTTTTTCTTCAGCACTGCCCTTAGCCTGTCTTGATCACTATCTAAAGCACTGAATTTATCAGTGTCTTCAGCACTGTCTTTATCATTTCTCTAGCGCTATCTTTGCACTGTCTACAGCATTGTTTTGTCACTGTCTTTATGATTGTATTTACCACTGTCTTCAACACTTTCTACAGCATTGTCTTTATCACTGTCTTTATCGTTGTTTTCAGCGTAGTTTTTTTCACTGTCATTATTTTTGTCTTTATGACTTTCTTTATCACAGTCTTTAACACTGCCTTTAGCACTGTCATTATTTTTGTCTTTATGACTTTCTTTATCACTGTCTTTAGCACTGTCTTTAGCACTGCCTTTAGCACTGTCTTTAGCACTGTCTTTAGCACTGTCTTTAAAACGGAGTGTAAGCGTAATTTTAAATAAACCTTTATTCAAAGAGGGCAATTGTCGATTAACGATATTACCCTTGAAACTTTTATCTGATCAATAATAAGAAATATATTGTCGCTTTTTTAGGCTTAGAAGTATTTAGTTCTGATAATAATGTTGTCGTAATGCGTAAACCACTTTTATAGAAGACACAAATTTGAAGATAACCTGAGCTGAAAACTTTAGAATTGTGGATATCGAGATCAATGCTTATCGATTGGGATTAAGGTTAAAATATCCCATTTAAAAGTTCCCAGCTCTGCTTTCCAATCTATAAATAGTGATTTCTAATTGATACTTGATATGACAAGGTTTTTAAGGGCACTGTCATATTTGCTTGGAGGGTCATTTGAAATTACGCTTACTCACCTTTTATTTAGGTATTATGTAGGGTGAATTGATGTTTTGATTATCAATACATTCTCTTGATGCATTTTATTATTACAAAAACAAAACTTTGTTTGTATTCTATTTAGTCTATTTGTTTAGGTGAAATCATGAATAATAAAGAAGATTCTCTTTACTCTAAACCAAAAAGACTCAATCAATCAAGATTAACCACGGAGGTGTAAGATACCATTGTTGTGAATGTGATTATGCGGCAAAACTAAAAACTAATCTTAAAACACGTATCAAGAGTAAACATAAAGGAGTAAGGTATCAATACGGCCAGTGTGAATACGCTGCAGCTACAGAAGGTAGTTTAGCTGTTAAAAGTAAGCATGAAGGCATAAGATATCCTTGTAAACAATGTGATTATGCTGCCACAGAAGCATTCAGCCTAAGGAAACACGATAAAATTAAACATAAAGGTATTACCCAATCGGACTCGGTGACTTCCAATCTATGCCATGAGATGGACTCAAGGCTGTGGGTTTCAGCGCGCGCCTTGAAGGCCTGGTAGATAGAAAGCCTGGATAAGACCTGTAAGGCGTTGGAGAGGATTTTCTCAAAATTTGCCAAATCATAATATTAATGGAAGCATATTGCATAAATCTTGCAGGGAAGTTTTGCATTTTTTGCTATGTGATTGGATTTGAAAAAAAAATATTTTGATATTTTCAAATCTGACACTGGTTCATCAACCTTGCTCGATATCTGAGTAACAATGAGGGAGATATCATCATTTTCTAAATCTCTGACAAGGAGGGGGGGAAGGAGGAGTAAAAAAAATGTTATTCAACCCCCCCCTCCTCCCGGATCTATCCTGGAATCCCTTACTAGAGTCTTCTAACTGTTTTGCTTTTTGGGACAGCCAGTATGCGTTCTGCATTGATTTACGAAAATCATCTAAATTTTAAGAAAAATATTGATTGCTACCCCCTTATTACTTTTTGTTTGTTTTTGTTTTACATGCAAAGAGAAAAATAGAAGATGGGAGCAAAGCGCCCTAAAAGGCTAAAAAATTAATTTATGACAAGATAATAATTGCAGTATACAAAAGAGTCTGAAACATAAAAGGTTAGCAATTCTGTAGGTATTCACTTTACAAACGACGATTTTTACATTTTAATGTTTAATAAAATAATGATTTTAATTCACCTATAGCAAATACACACGTTTAACAACTTAATAAAACAAATTAATTGGAATTACTGTATTAGTGTGATGTACTGCGTATAATTTGTGAACATATGATTTGTACACTTTGAGCTCCCCTTTCAAACTGAAAGGGACTGACAAAATTCATACCGAGGGATTGTTTAAATTCCACTCTAATATATTCTATTCTCTTTGTATAGCATGCACAAGGTCTTCTCATGAATTAGGGAATCTTGATATTTCAAACTTCTTTGATGTTGAGTCAGTATCAAATGAGTATCAAAAAGGTCGTTAAGTCTAAACAGCTTTCTAAAATGTGATAGCTGTAGCTTTAAACTGTACAGGATGTCCAAATAAACATGGATAAACATGGGAATTGAGAGACTTGAATATAGTCTTTGGTTTCCGATATATACAGTTAAATGACATAACGTGCAAATTTCCTAATATATCCGTCAATTTTGACGGTGAAAGAATGGTAGACAACAGTTTGGAAATCCTGAGACAGTAGTTTTCGTTGTTAAATGTTTTAACTACAAAATCATTATAGCAAAATAATCTCGTTTGAAACAAAGGCGATGGTTAAGTTGTTATTTAATTCCCATGGTTTTTGCAACATACAGGGTGTCACACGAAACATGATAGTTTTGAATGTCTTCTTCCATAAACTGTATTAGACATTACAGTTATTTAGCAGTTTATTTCTTGTAAAATTTTATTTACTCAAATATAGCCTACTTTGAAATCAATTTTAATACAATATTACATATACTATTTTTTATTAGTCTCTTTGGTATCTAACAACTTAATAAATTATGGAAGAAGACATTTTTAACTATTCACTAACTGTCATGTTTCGTGGGACACCCTGTAGAACCTTGTATATCTAAAAATTAATGGAGAAATTTTGTTTGTTATCCGACAATTTTGCTTATTATGAAAATTTAAAATATTTTGGATAACAAAATTAAGTGTGGATCAAAAATGTTGTAAATCCCGAGTTTTATTTGGTCTACAGCAGAATTTAAAACGCAATAATTAACTCTCTAAGTTCAAATTTATTAATCTAAGTTTACTGATTCAATATTATTTATTTCAGGAGATTAATATTCTGGTCTGAACTCGACTTCCATGGCAAAGAGTTGTAACAGCTCCAGCAGCTGCTCCATGATGAGGGACATATTGGTGACAAGCGCCAATTCAATATATATATAAATATATATAACTTTACAGAACTATTGCCTTGTCCAGCTTTACAGAGCTGCCTTATTTAGTTTTGCGAAGCTAGTAACTTTGCGGAGCTATCAGCTCTGTTGAACTGTTAACGTTGCGGAGCTGTTAGCTTTGTGGAGCTATTAACTCTGCGGAGCTATTAATTCTGCAGAGCTTTGTATTGGGTTGAGCTATACAGAATTATATGTATCCTTGCTTATCTATGTTAATATGAATATCTATAACTAGCTATTCACAGTTGAGTATATTTATCAGGCTATATTATGTTAATAGTCTGAGTTATGAATCAATATAAATTTGGGAGCTGCACTTACCTAAGGTAGAAGATTATATTTGTATATAAGTCTTTCTACTAGTAAGGTTCTTTGTGCACTGCCATTCCTTTTTGCTTTGATTCATTATATAGAGCGCTGGCAGCATGTTATATATATATATATGTCTATATATAAATATATACATGAATTCTAAGGTATTCCTAATCCGTTCTAGATTACAACAAAAATAACGCTCTTAAAGTCACCACTTAATAACAATGCTTTTGTTGGCCAACCCTTATTTTCGAGATAATACAATTTAAGACGACATTTTAGAATACATCGGACTGTAAAGATTTTTCTAAGTGAAACCAATATTCATTTTCCTGCAGAATTTCATATTCTTAAATAAAGACTACAAACCTTGAGATACTTAATGTAAAGACTACAAAGCTGAAGATACCTAAGATAAAGACTACAAAGCTTGAGATAATAAAAATAAAAGCTACAAACCTTCAGATACTTAAAATGAAGATTACAAACCTTGAGATAATTAAAATATAGACTAGAAAGCTAGAAATAATGAAAATAAAGTCTGCAAAGATCGAGATATTCAAAATAAAGACTAGAAAGCTAGAAATAATTAAAATAAAAACTGTACGAAGCTTGAGATAATTGAAGTAAAGAATGCAAAACTTGAGATGATTAAAATAAAGACTAAAAAATTTGAGATAATTAAAATAAAAGACTACAATGCATGAGATAATTAAAATAAAGACTACAAAGCTTGAGATAATTAAAATAAAAGACTACAAAGCTTGAGATAATCAAAATAAAAGACTACAAAGCTTGAGATAATCAAAATAAAAGACTACAAAGCTCGAGATAATTAAAATAAAAACTACATAGCTTGAGATGATTAAAATAAAGGCTACAAAATTTCAGATAATGAAAATGAAAACTACAAAGCTTGAGATGATTAAAATAAAGATTATAAAGTGTGAGATAATTAAAATTAATACTGCAAAGCTTAAGATGACTCAAGTAAAGACTACAATAAATAATTAAAATAATTTAGATAATGACTAAAAAGCAAACAAAGACTAAACAGAATGAGATGATTGAAGTAAAGACTACAAGGCATGAGATAATTTTTATAAACAATAAAAATTCACAGTTATTTAGTTGTTAACAGTTTGTATCAATGTTTTTACAAGAGTTTATCGGCAAAGTTTATTTTTATTTATATTCATTTAAACAATTTTTATAATTTTTGTTGTTTCTGACTGTTTCTAGATAATTATATTAGATGTTGGATATGATGGAATGCCATGTAGCTGAGACCAAGAAGAAAAGATTGTCCCACAATATCCTGAAATTAGTTTTTAAAGTAAAAATATCATGTTTTGTGTAACACACTGTACCTGAAAAGCTGTTTCCAGAGGGCCAGCAATTTTTGCTGGATCAATCTGTAGTATTGTCGCCTAAACACAACAATAAATATGATGATAACAATAATAATAATAATAATATCATACAATTAATAATTACAATAATAGTAATAATAACAATAATAATAATATAATACAAGTAATAATCATAATAATAATAAATAATAATTATATTAATAATATTATTAAGAATAATAATAATAATGATGATAATACCAGAATAGGTGTACTGGCTCCATTCACTGTAGATACCATCATAGAAATCCATGTACCGACAAATAGTACTCCACCAAATAGAAAACATGTACTGGATGTATTCTAAAGATAACAAAATTAGAATATGTTTAAGTACAATTACATTAAAAGCAAGAATTACAAGAATAAAACATTGGCAAATATAAGTTAATTAGAATATATTTCAGTACAATAGCAAATAAAGATATGAATCACATGTACTGAATGTATCCTAAAGATAATAGAAAATGCGTACATATAAGAATTAGAATATATTTAAGTACAATCACAAAAAGAAAACATGAATTACATGTACATGTGTCCTAAGAATAATAAAGCATATTTATCTGTAAATCTTTATATATACTTGCTCGTCTGTATGGGTGTTTGTTTGTTTTTCCCGTTAAATCTAATAAACGTCAAAACGGCTGAACCGATCAGGCCCAATTTTGTGCGGGACCTTTCATGACCCGAGGGAAGATAAATGATTGCTAAGAATTACAAAAAATTGTCTCCACACATTTTTGTTTTGAAAATTTTGAAAATTCGCGAAATAAAAAATCTAAATCCACGTAAATTTTTATTTTTGTTTTATCAAAGAAAAAAATCTGAAAGATTAAGCGGCTAATAAAATATTTAAAAAAATTATGGGCACAAAGCGCCCTGATATCCCAGTATTAAGATAAAACAATACAACACTTAATAAAAAAGAATTAGAATAAATAAAACGATTAATTGAAATTTTAAAATCAATCAGTACAATCCCAATACTGAAGTTAATTTAATTTTAGATTGGATTCATAAATTCTTTCCTTTTTTCTAAAAAGTTAGATTTGTGAATATTTAAAAATTGTAATTTCATAATTTATGCAATTAAAGATATAGAACCTGTAAGAGGTTGCAAAGCTTCAACAAAAAAATTCAGCAAAAAGTTTGCGAAATACGAACTAAAATTTTGCATTTTTTCGCATTTTTTTAGCGAAAGTTTCGTTCTCTGCCAACCCACTCCACATGCATTTGATTTTCTAAAGTTTGGATCATGGTGGTTGAGTTACATGCATTAGTAATTTATTAGCGGTAAGAGTCAAAAGGAAAAGAAATATAATGTTCCCAAATATATAAAAATCATTTTGAAAGAAATTTCTAAAAAATGTTCTAAAAAAAGTGTAGAAAAGCAGAAAGCTATTTTGTACAAAAATCTGTTAACGCCTGTAGGCCTGAGCTAATGCAAGAGAAATTCAACTTAAGGCTCTGTCAACGAACTATCAAGTGATCCTCAAATTAATCTTACACATTGCTAACCTTGATTCAAGGTTACCATTCAAATTTGGAAATTGAATTTAAAAGATTTTTATTCCCCCGGAACAAAAGCAATTCCAACATCTTAGTTTTTGGTATTTTTACTAAACAAATTCAGACAGCAAAATTCACCGCAGTATTGTAACATTTATTGTATTGTATTGTAACGTTAATTGCAGTATTTATTTCATTTAAATTGTTAATTAATTAATTTATGATTTGACAATATATTATTAATTTGGAAATTTTACCTGACTTATCTCTTGAATATTTTCAAAGTCTATCCCTGATACATTGGAAGTTTCTAGAAAACTAGAATGTATACTCTGGTTTATGTACATCTGGGTTGAGTTTGATAAACTACTGTACACCCCTTGTACACCGTTGTACAACATGGCTGGGCTGGGTGGGTCAGGTACAAAGGTTGTGTTCAAATTCTAAAAAAAAATTAATGGTTTTTAGGGACTTAAAGAGTAATGTTAAGTGACTCTTTAGTCTCCATGCACAGATTGCAATGCCAGATTCCATGAGTAACCTCTCTACACCTTTATATGATAAAAAGTTGAATATATATATATTGTAGTTTTTCTAGGTTTATATCATTTCATTCTCATAATTCCTAATTGGAAAGAACACCCGCAATTGAAAACAATAAAAAGTTTTAAAATTTCAGAACATAGATTCATAATTCATATTTGGTCAGACAAAGCCATTAAGGGTACCATTGTGAATCAGGCATTCCCATCTTGGCGTAGAGTGTCACTTGAAATTATGATTAAATGCTTTTTACACGAGTTACATTTTTTCCAAAGATGTCCTTTCTTCTATTCAGAGAAGTTATTCTGCAAAAAAAAAACTTTGAATAAAAATTCCTATTTAATATTTCCAACAAGTAGGAAATATTTTTACAAGAAGAAAAAACAAATTGTGGAATTATCGTCGTCTTTGTTATTATTATAGCCTCTAAAATTATGGATTACAATGCTAATTCTTAACAAAGACAATCTCAAAGACGCCTTTTAATTCCCATTTTTATATAAAGTGGCATTTGAATTATGAAGGTAAACTGGGTTCTAATAAAGATGCCTTCATCCATAAATTTAAAGAATTTGCTGAGCAGAATATTTTAAAATGAAATTGTTTCTAAATTTTAGCATTCTTTGGAAAATATGTCTGATATAAAAACTATAACTTAAAATGGGAAAACTATAAGAAAAGGATAACGTTAGAGCTGGGAACTATTTTATACTACAGGGTGGCAAAAAAGGATTTAATTCAGTTTTAACCAGCTTTAAGACGTGAAGTATAACCCAGTACAGGGTTACCCACCAAGGATAATACTATAGAGACGACTATACGGAAGTAAAACGGTCTGATTTCTTATATTTATGATTCACTGCAACTGTAAACTTGTTTCTTTCTTTGATCAATCATTAAAAGCCATTAAAAGCTACTTAGGCTCGTCATATTTTTTGAGTAACCTTGTATATCTTGAAAATCGTTTAAGTTAAAATAACAGGTTTATGACTCCTGCAATGTATATATTAAAATCTTAAATGTTTCCAAACGTAACATCTCATTTTTGAACATCTACTGAGAAGAACAAAAATGTAGAGGATTTTTTTCTTCAAGATTTCCCTTCGTATTGTATATATTTTCAAATAATGTATCTCATGGTTTTCTCAATTATTACTTTATTTTCTTTGTACATTTTCTGCATTGAAGAAACAAATAATTGTTAATAAAATTGTTTTGCTATTAGAATATCAAAATATAAAATGTTTAGCAGTTTTGAATTTCAAAATGACATAAATCTAAAAACAAAAATGTTGCCAACAACGTTTAAAATCAAGACATACAAAGTTTTAAATGGAAAAAGACTTCTACATCAAATTTAATTATGAGTCATAAGTTGCTGAGCTGCACAGACGGGGTTCAACTTCTTCTCTTCTGAGCCAGTTTTAGTTGAATAGAATTGGTTGAACCATGTTTAAGCTGTTCAACCACGTCTTGCCATTCATTAAGTCAGGTGTCTGGATAAGTTTATATCCCAGTGAGAATACAACCAGTAAGCGTATCAATCAAAAGTATTACCAGATAAAACCGAGCAAGCTATTACTATTATTTGTTTTTTTATTATTTTGTCTATGTAGATTTCTTTTTGGCATGCAAAAACAACTTTTGATCGCCCTGAGGCCGAACTTAAAGAATTTGAGCCGCGGCTTAAATTCGCCAAAACCCGGTTTAAATTAAGCGCCGGCTTAAATCTTCAAACATTTGATACATTTTTAAGTGGAACCAACCATATTTAAGATGCGGCTTAAATTTAAGCCGCCGCTCAAATTCTTAAAATTCGGCCTCCAGAGAACTTATACTTGTTGTATGGTTTGTTAAGTACATTAAAATTTAATTGAAGTGCAGTAATGATCATAATAGTTTTCAATAATAATAATTGGCAAACATTTTATCTTTAATAAAAATGTCTTTCTGAAAAAGCAATTCTATGAAATAAAATTTTTCCAACCATGAATACAGTGGAACACATAAAACTAAGGAATTGGTCCAACCATGAATACAGTGGAACACATAAAACTACGGAATTGGTCCAACCATGAATACAGTGGAACACATAAAACTAAGGAATTGGTCCAACCATAAATACAGTGGAACACATAAAACTAAGGAATTGGTCCAACCATGAATACAGTGGAACACATAAAGCTAAGGAATTGGTCCAACAATGAAAACAATGGAACACATAAAACTAAGGAATTGGTCCAACCATAAATACAGTGGAACACATAAAACTACGGAATTGGTCCAACCATGAATACAGTGGAACACATAAAACTAAGGAATTGGTCCAACCATAAATACAGTGGAATACATAAAACTAAGGAATTGGTCCAACCATGAATACAGTGGAACACATAAAACTAAGGAATTGGTCCAACCATAAATACAGTGGAACACATAAAACTAAGGAATTGGTCCAACCATGAATACAGTGGAACACATAAAACTAAGGAATTGGTCCAACCATGAATACAGTGGAACACATAAAACTAAGGAATTGGTCCAACCATGAATACAGTGGAACACATAAAACTAAGGAATTTGACGACAACAATGAGACCCACGGAATAAGTTGATTTCCAAAACAACTTTCTAATTGACATCAAATACCCCGCACAATATGTCTTCTTCCTTTTTCTTCAGTTACGTACCTGTTTATTTATCAAGCTATCCTGATCAAAATATGTCCAAGTGGTTCCTGAATAAGAATATGCACCGGTTTAAATATTCTAGATTGTTAATTATTAGTTTGGTCAAAGAAATAATTTTAAATAATATGATAACTTAGAAAGCAATTTTGCTATAAACATATAAGATTTGTCTGGTCATTAGCTTTATTGTAAAAAAGTAATTACATAGGGACCTCAAAACGATGCCATTCCTAAATAAAATAGAATATTTAGAAACTTATGAAAGGGGTGTTCCAGAAAACTGCAGGGTAGAAAATTATGGGTTGAAACCAATTATCATGGTTTTTTCTCTTTACTTTTAATGTGCAAACATACTCACATTATTTTCTAGATAGTTACCCTTCTTTGATATAGTGGTATCGATTCACAACGGTACCATTAACAGCATTTTTTTTGGATCGATTATCAACTATTGATCCGAGTTTTTGTTTATTTCTATTTTTGTCTTCTCTGCAAAAGTGAGTTGCGCATTTTGTTTCTGAAACTACAGAGAAACTATCAGAATTAAACACTTTTCAAGTCGGAATAACGACGTAATTTTCAACATTATTGATCAATCAGATTACGGTTTCAGGATACCATTGTGAATCTGGCATGCCCCTTTTTATTTTTTAAATGGAATATCACTTTCAATTACAACTTTTTAATTGCTACTTTTATACTTTCATACCTATTGTTGACATAACAACAGCTACAAAAGTTGCAGAAATTAATCCAGATTTTATCTGAAATATTATTGTTTATTCTCATCTTATTCAAATATTATTTTTCATTCTCATCTTATTCAAAATATTATTTTTCTATTCAAAATATTATTAAATATTATTTTTCATTCTCATCTTATTCAAAATACTACTTTTTATTCTATTATTATTTAGAATTTTTTTAAATATTATTTTTCATTCTCATCTTATTAAAATTATTATGTTTACAAAAAAAAATTAGAATTACCTCTTTTAGGATGTTAGAACCATAACTTTTTGGTGTAATGTGGCCTATATAAATTCTTTATTAATTAAACTTACTTAAAGGAACTGTAAGCATAAGTTCAAAAGACCCTTCTTGAAAAGATGACAATGGCCGATTTAAACGGTAGTTCCATTTTTGGTGGCTTCTCTGCAATAGTGACTAGGACATTTCTTGCTTAAGAAAGATTAGAGGAATTATCAGAAAAAAACTATTTTCGAGCATCAATTTCATAGATAAATAAATAAACATAGATAGCTTATGTACGCAAAATCACCAAGAATTGTACATTCCGCAAACTCATACTTCTAGGGGTCATAGTGTAACTTCAATGATAAGCGGGGTGGTTTGGCCTTTTAATGGATTTCATGACATGAGAAGGACTAAACTAACTTAAATTTCTTTTTACAGAACTCATGTGCACCACAAGTACTCAATGACATAAGAACAACCAATGTTCACATCTGACCTAGTTAATCTATATAATAGGAATATCTTTAAAACATCTCTGTACATTTATATCTTTCAAGATGAAAAATGTCGTCTTATGCGCAATCTATCTTTATCTATGATCAATTTGGATCAGATTAAAGTTTCAAGGGTACCGTTGTAAATCGGGTGTCTTACTCTTTACAAGAAGACTTACATGACTTACGCTCACAGCTTTAAATATTAGATATAAGATCATGCGACAATTGAGCTTTAACAAGATTATGACCTTTTTACTCCATTGTTTTACTAAAACATTTTTTTTCAAATGGGTTATTTTTGTGTTTAATAATGTCAAAAACAATTTTACGGTTAATCATAACATGTAATTTTAATTTAATATTTTATTTTGAATTGAATCATCACCTGTGGCAAGACCTCGTATAGTGTTTGCACTTGCCTAGATTCATGTAGATTAAAAGAATTTAAGATTTAACTTGAGTTAAAGTTACAGATTTTAAGGCTTTAAAATTTTCAAAAAAATATATATATTTCAGTTCTTTTAGATTTCTCCTCTCCATTTCTCAATTTCTTAAAGGAATTGACTCTTTGCCACAAACTCTCATTTTCTAATCCAAATATCTTTGGAACCCAATGTCGTAAACCTTTGATATTTCAAACTTATATTTTTTGATCTAACAAAAGTCATAGTTTGAAATATCAAAGGTTTACGACGTTGGAATCCAAAGATATTAGGATTAGAAAATCAGAGTTTGTTGCAAAGACTCAATTCCTTTTTGGATTTTTTAACCTAAATTTTCTTTATGATTCTGTAGATCTTATTTTCTTGATTTTATAATTCTAAATTGCCCTAGACCAAATCTATTGACTAAAGAGATTTAAAGTAATACGAATAAAGAGATTTAAAGTAATACGAATAAATAGTTTAAACATGTGCGTGGGGGGGAGTTCAAGAGAATGGTATAATACACGATTAAGGTTTGTTTTTATAAATATATTTGTACATGTATTCCTGAAGTCCCAGGTTTCCAGATAGAGCAGATATTGCTGGCATGAAACTTACAATAAGGGTTAGTGCACGAATTACCTGAACAAAAACAAATATTTATCTATTGTGTTCCTCTAGTTTTACTTTTATTTTTTCTATTTCATTCTTATTTTTTACAAAATATTTTTTCTTTTTTAATCTGGTTTTTGCTTTTGGCCTAGTTGTTTAATTTAGTCTTTAGTCGTGTTTGTTGTTTAGTCTTGTTTTTACTTTAGTCTAATTTTCACTTTTGGTCTCGTTTTTATTTTTAGTTTAGATTTAGTTTTTATCTAGTTTTTTACTTTTTTACTTTTTTATAATTCCTTACATCTTCAAGCTGGTTTATGATTAGTCCTCCCAACATCTCTAGAATTAGAGTTACCACTAGGGCTGGTAAACGTCTAAAACAATTTCTTGGTTTTAAACATTTTTGTCAATATGCCAAATTGGCAATTTCTTCAGTTGGGTCGTTTTTTGGTCATTTTTTGCCTATATTTTCTTTCAGAGTTATTAAAAAAAACGGCCCAAAAACATTCCAAAAACGATGCAACAACGAACGTGTTGAAACGATCGTTTTAAATCGTTTTTCCAATTTATATTTTTTTAAGTTAAAGAACATTTTCAAATAATGCAGTTTTGAAATCTCTGAAAAGTTTGTTGTGTACATTTTATTAAGGGGATTACGAGATAAACTGTAACTATTTTATTATTTTTCTACGGTTTTATTTAAAATATTTATCAATGATTTGATTATTGATTTCTGTTTTTATGTTGTATATTTAATGTAAATATTGACAGGAAATCAAATAAAGAATTATTGGTCAATATACAATGTAGACAATATGTAGACATAGTAACCTTAATGAAAGTTGGACCGGAGAAACATCGTAAAACTGCTTTATCTAAATAAAAATCATGTTTTTTATTCGACAACAATGAACCCAGTATAATTTCCTGTAATTTAAAAGAAAAAGTGCTAAAAGTGTGTTTTAAATATCATATACGTTAGCCTTCAACTCACGGTTGTATTTGAATGTGTTTGTCACAAATCACAATTGAATCTTTTTTATTCTAAAGTTTTTCCTGAAGGAATTTTGATATTTCAAGGGAGTGACCGGCAATTTACGGTAGTTGAACTGAGAACGTAATATTGTGAAAAAATTTTTTAGGATTCATTTGAGACATGTCATACGTTTTTACGATGCATATTTGTTGCGCAAATCTAATCTTTAGAATTCTCACAGATTGTCCATTTTAGAGGGACTAAGGGATGATTTTGAGAATTTTTTTTTTTACAACGGCGACAAAAAATGTAACAAAAATTCTACGGTAAACTAATTTATTGCTTTATAAATGAGAAATATTTGGTAATTGGTTTCTGTGATGTTCTTTAACATTTTCTGTAGATTTCCTGAAATTTTATTGAAAAGGCGACATCTACAGAATTTTAAGAAATCTGCGAACAAACTTGTAAAGAATAAGAAATTCAATGTAATGATGAAAAAGAAATATTTGATTCTAAAATTGATTTATTGACAAATTTCTATTGAGAAATATGTTCCTAAACATTTTTGACGTCGTAATTATACATCATTAGAATATTTTAGTCTCAAATGAATCCTTAAAAAAGTTCTCCACATTACTACATTGTCAACTACCATACATTGCCGGTCACTTCCTTTACTTATGCGTGTGTTGACTTTTTTTTGGCGTGATTTTTTCTATGAATTAAGTAAATAATGTCTTTATTTAAAGATGACCAATGCTAATATGCATGAAGTGGCTGTGTTGCAACCTTAGAAATTTGTTTCGCGCCAGTCACCCCTGACGCTGAGTTTATTGTAATGCCCCTGGAAGCTGCCTGTATTGTGAGCGTACTTCACAGAGGAGACCGGTCTTTTGTTTATGTTGTGAAAACTAGGCCCGGCCGGTTCTGTACTCTCAGTCATAGTTCTCTGTTCAAGCTTTTAGCATGTATATACGTTATTTTCGCCTGTAAATTNTGTTCTGCTGGTTGTATTCAAGGGTTTACCTGGTTACTGTTCTGCTGGTTGTATTCAAGGGTTTGTTTTAACATTTTATTTTCTTCGTACAGTTTTCTAAGGATGTCGTCACACTGCGGACAACCAAAAAGAATTTCATCCTGAAAATAATCAGTAAATATTGTAATGGTGGCATAAACCTACTTGAATTGCGGAATTGTGCGGATTTTTTAGGAGTTTACATGATTCTCAATTGTTCGTTGGAAACCCTAATTGGACGGCTTAAAACTCTAAAGAACCGTTTTTTGGCATATCTTTTAGAACATACAAATTTATAACTTTTATTTATTTATAAACGTTTGAAATTTGGAACATAATTGACTTGAAATAGTTGTATTGAGCCTTGACAATGTAAATTACTGCAGTGTGTTCAAACCTATTTATTTAACAACATTTTCTGCTATTTCTCTTCATACCTTAGCTATTCCATAGAAACAAAAAATATGTGGGGCAAAAATGTTGATCAATAAAATAGAAAATAAGTTAAATCTTTTTTTTTATTCTAAGTTATCTTTTTAGATTTTACAATGTTCTCGGACCAATTAGGGAAGAAGTATAAATCTATGAACTTACCCCAGCATATGTGTATACTAGACAAACAATCTGATTTGATCAAGAAATTGGAAAAATATCGAAAATAATTTATTATGGGTTCACGATGCTTGTAATTTAGGGAAAAATGTCCTTTTCACATCGGCAAGAATAGAAAATAAATTTGTTTTGCTAAATTGAAACTTTATTATTAATTTCTATAAAAAAAGAGGCAAAAAGTACCAATATGGGTTTAAAGATATAAAAAGATAAAAGGAAGTGAATCAAATCTCCCAATATTGGTTTAAAGATATAAAGAGGAAGTGAATCAAATCTCCCAATATTGGTTTAAAGAGATAAAGAGGAAGTGAATCAAATCTCCCAATATTGGTTTAAAGATATAAAGAGGAAGTGAATCAAATCTCCCAATATCAAATCTCCCAATATTGGTTTAAAGATATAAAGAGGAAGTGGATCAAATCTCCCAATATTGGTTTAAAGATATTAAAAGAATGTGGATCAAATTTGCCTAAATTGTTCCCATTGATCTCCTCTTGTTTAATTTTATTTCCCATTTTTTATCTAAACAAACAATATTTACAAATACAATTTTCTTGTTTACTTCACATCACGCACCTCTGACCCTTTAGTAAAAGTAAATTAAACATAAAGTCTGACCGTGTGAACCTTGTTGCACCGGCTAGTCAGTAGTCCTATTGAGTGTCTGCCAGGGAGTAAGGAATAGAAGGGAGATATAACTGACGCGGTTCGCCCTACCATATGATTAGACATGCTTTGCAGACGGGTACTTCATTTGATTAAGATATATTTGTCTGATGTACAATTACCGCGCATACAATAACCTATTCTGAATATTTCTTATTCAAATGAAGTATCGTCTGCAAAGCATGTATTATCATATGGTAGGGCGAACCGCGTCAGTTATATCTCCCTTCTATTCCTTACTCCCTGGTGTCTGCTTTATCTGCCCAATGTCCAGGCGGTACAGTACAAACTGGGACCGGAAACGTTAACCCGGCTCGGAAATTCAAATGTACTACTGCTGCCCGTGACATCTAACAAAACTACTGTTGCTCTTTAGCGATTCACCAAACATGAAAAGCGATGACGGAGAGAATAGAGTTCTTTGTCACTTAAATTCTATTATTCTATTAATCACTTAAAGAAAAACACGGAGAAAAATATTGTCGATTTTAATAAAAAAGCGTCAATTTTTGATGTAATATAAATTACATTTTTTAAAAACATAGGAAGAACAGCTAAATTTAGAAAATCTCGGAAGAACTGCTAAATGTAGAAAATCTCGGAAGAACAGCTAAATTTTGAAAATCTCGGAAGAACAGCTAAATTTTGAAAATCTCGGAAGAACAGCTAAATGTAGAAAATCTCGGAAGAACAGCTAAATTTAGAAAATCTCGGAAGAAATGCTAAATGTAGAAAATCTCGGAAGAACAGCTAAATTTAGAAAATCTCGGAAGAACAGCTAAATTTAGAAAATCTCGGAAGAAATGCTAAATGTAGAAAATCTCGGAAGAACAGCTAAATTTAGAAAATCTCGGAAGAAATGCTAAATGTAGAAAATCTCGGAAGAACAGCTAAATTTAGAAAATCTCGGAAGAACTGCTAAATATAGAAAAAGTCTGAGAAAGAAAGACACAATGTTTTTTTATCTGCAAATTAGAAATTTTCCATTAATTGATTTTACAAAAAAATGTATAACTTTGCCAGAGGTTTAAAAACAGTAATTTAACCAACGCTGTCTATCGAATTAAACTGAGTAGAGTCAGGGGGTCAGATTACACTTTGAATTAGGAAGTACATTAAACTATACTTTTTAATCAAAAAACTGCATTTTAAAACAAAAAACCTAAACTTTTTTCTTAAATTCAAACAACCGAATGCAGTTCAAAATTATTAACACCGAATGTTAGTTTTTCAATACCTGACGTTCTGTTCGAAATTATAAACCTATTGTTATGAACATATCACAAGTTTTTACATGCCTGACGTTCTGCTGGAAGTTATGAATCGAATATTAGGAATATTTCACAATATTTTACATATTTTACTTTCAGTTTGAAATTTTTAACCGAATGTTAGGAACATATCACAAGAATTTACATACTTTACATTCAGCTCGAAAATATAAACCGAATGTTTTGGTCAACCAGATGGTATAAACAAAATAGACGGACATAGAAGTAATCAAGTTATAATCAGTTGTGTCAAAAAAAAATACTAAATTTCGTTTCTTTAGAAAATAAATTTTGCAACTGTACCCTACACCCGCCCCCCCCCCCCACTTATTTCTCCAAACAACTTAAACCCCCCTCTAACATTAAAGCACTCAACTCATTGAACCTCCCCTTTGTAAATATAGAATTTATGATGGTCAACTCTTCTCGTTATTTGTGTAGACTATCAACCTTTCAGGTTCTAAATATATTATGTTTCATGTAAACTCTATAAATAGTTTACTCGCAAATTTAAACAAATTTTAGGGGAATATTTATATTATATATATTTGGTAGTATGTTTGTTAGTGTATTAAGTATTCAAGTCCATCAACCAGTTTGTTGGAGTGCGAGGGGGGGGGCCTGACATGAAAAGCAACCTTGGTTAGAGGTGATCGAGGTGACCGAGGTGATCGAGGTGATCGAGGTGATCGAGGTGACCGAGGTGATCGAGGTGACCGAGGTGATCGAGGTGACCGAGGTGATCGAGGTGATCGATTAAAATTCCCACACTTTGCCTCTAAAATTATGTTTGTTAGTCCGACTTTTGTACTGGTCATGACGTTTGTACTGTTTGTAATACCGTAACACCTCGCTGAAATCTATCTTTAAAATTCTTCCGGATTGTCAATTTAAATTTTTTTTTAATATAATTTAATAGCGACGACGAAAATACACAAATAATACAGTAAAATAATATTTATTATGTACTCTCATTATTGGAAATAAGTTTTTATATTTCATTAAACGTTTCTTCTTCTGGCACAGAAGCATCTGGTGAAATATTTACGTCCTAATTTAAGAATTGTACATCGTAAAAATGTCTCATTTGTATCAATTGAATCCTTAAGTTTTTTCCACAATACTGCACTTCCAGCTCAAATATGTTAAATAGCCTGACTGTCCCTTTAAATAATGCTGTTGTAAATTGCGGGAAGATAATTTTTAATTACACTTAAAACTTACCCTGCACCCAAATTGATGATTTTCAACGGTGACTTTGCGCTCAAACTCAGTAATTATAGATTTTTAATTTTTATGTCTCAAATGAATCCTAAAAAAGTTCTCTACATAGTACATATACTGCAGTTTAACCACAAAACATTGGCGGTCACTCCTTTTAAGTTCGAAAAATTGACCAACTACAAGCCTAGTTTAAAGTAAAATTTTCTTTTAAAAAAGATGTTTTAAGCGTAGGACTCACTTTGACTGTGTGACTTACACTGTCTGAACAATCAGCTCTCAATCTAAAGTTGAATTTATAAAATAATTCTAAAACAGGGGTTCATATAATTTCCAAAAAACTGGTTTTCGCGATCCTAAAACAATGCAACCAACTTAAAAAACAAACACCCACAATATAATTTTTTCGAAACCTTCACTCAATTATACCCCCAATTAAAAAAAGAAACTCGATGCTTTTAAGTTTTGCCTCCAATTGTAAAAAAATACCCCCCAAAGTTATAAACTATTTTTTACACTCAAACATTTTTATTCAAATTGCCCCACCTGACTCAATTTTGCCCCTTTTTCAACAATTGTAGTCCTAAATTTTTTATAATCCCCCTTTTTTTTAGTTTTGGCCGGCCCTCAGTTTAAATTCATTAACTCCAAATGTTAATGCACCCAATCTCTAAAGAAATGCCCCGAAATAAAAAATTTGCCCCTTTGAAACAAAGTTCTCACATACATAATTGCCCCCATTAAAAAAGAAAATTGCCTCAAAATAATGATTAAAGAATTTCCCCACGGCCACATATAATTGCCCCCAAACTAAAAAAATTGCCCCCAATGATTAAATTTGCCCCTGAAATAAATATTTCAGATTTGCTCCATACATATTTGCCCCCAACTAAAAAAATGCCCCTTATTCATCCAAAATGCCCCCATAATAAGGTTTAAGGAATTCCCATCCACATAATTGCCCCCAACTAAAAATTTTGCCCCCAAAAAATAAAACTTGCCCCTGAAATAAAAATTTCAGATTTGCTCCATACATATTTCAACAATTTCAACCAAATATCAATTTCTGGGCAACCTTATTGCTGCAATACATCAAACCTCTAATAAACTATTAATCAAATCTAAAAAATTACACTGGATATTTAAACTTGTATTTGTCATATTAAAATCCAAATGTGTTAATTAAATATTCCCTGAAATTTGAACAGTGAAAGTACATATTAAAATCAAAAGGTGTTAATTAAATATTCCCTGAAATTTGAACAGTGAAAGTACATATTAAAATCCAAATGTATTAACTCAATATTCCCTGATAGTACATATTAAAGTGAAAGTACATATTAAAATCCAAATATGTTAATTAAATATTCCCTGAAATTTGAACAGTGAAAGTACATATTAAAATCCAAATGTATTAACTCAATATTCCCTGATAGTACATATTAAAGTGAAAGTACATATTTAAATCCAAATGTATTAATTCAATATTCCCTGAAATTTGAACAGTGAAAGTACATATTAAAATAGTCAGTGCATTTAGAGGCTAATTTAATATTTCACTTTTTCAATAATGATATAATTTGTTTTCAATAAATAAAAAAATTAGAAAAATTTTGATTCAACTAACAAATAATGCTACTAAATATGTGTAAAATTAACCACAGTAAAACTTTGGAATAAAACAACCTTTTCTTCTGCATATTTTATAGTGTTTTAAAGCAAATAGTTTAACCAAAAGCTTAAAAAATTATCTGAACGTGAACGTGAAATGGGTTTGTGCAGACAGGACACAAGGTGCACTCATTTGTTTTTTTACATTTACAGTACAAGCACCGTGACAATGTACATAAGTTCAATGAACAAAAATAATCTGGGTTAATGAGTGTAAATGAGCATAAACATCAAAATAAAATGTATGACCTTTAATAAAAGAATACCCTTTTGTCATATCTGTGTAATCTGTTCGACAGTTTAAAAAAACAATAAATCTCTTTAAATTGAAGATGGAATAAACATTTATTAAACGATATACACACATTCTACATACAGAGTGTCCCTCGAAACATGACAGTTGGTGAATAGTTTTCAATGTCTTCTTCCTTGATACTGTATTAGTTATTTGAGACTTTTTGCAGTTTATTTCGTTAAACAAATCTTTTACTCAAATATATATTTGTTTGAAAAATCAATTTTCCTACAATATTACTGCCATATAGTATTTCTTCTCATCACCATTGGTATCAAACAACTTAACAAATTAGGAAAGAAGACATTTAAACTATATCACCAACTGTCATGTTTCGTGGGACATCCTGTATTCGTAAAGCAAACTTTTCAGATTTAATGGCATTAAAAAAAGA